GAGACCAAACAACACAGAGTGCACCAGAGACAAGTGCCAGGACACACACCGGAACTGCTCTGCCCAGCACACCTCAGCACCGAGATCAAAACAGACATTTTCCCTTCAGGTGGCCTAAGGAGACGCTTCTTGCACATCCCCATCTCCAAATCTGACTCAAAAACCCTTCCTGGGGAGTCCCTGGCACCTCTCTTCCATCCCCTCTCTGGGTTGTAGCCCTGGACTTATCTTGCACATATCCTGGGATGCAAATCCCCATCGGGTGAGGCCTCCAGCCTGTCTGGGGAGTTCCAGTTGTCCCCAGGCCGTTCTCTCTAAGTCTGACCAGAGAAAGAAAACCAAACATCAGTGCACAGTCTTAACAGCACATTGGACCAAACCTGATAATTCTGCTACTCACCATTCTCCTCAGAATGCCCAGGTTCTCCGGCCAGCACACTTCGGGCGTGCTTGGATTCTGACGCCGTCATTGCAGGGTACACCTAAGTTCAGTGGAGACAAGGCGACATAGCATTGCTCAAACATGAGTGGACTCCCACTCCTCCTCCTCCCTACCCCCCCGACTCACTGCAACTCCTCGGCCATTCCTCTGGGCTACCAGGATGGGACCTTGACATGCAAAATTGGAAGGTTTCATCACAGGGTCCTGGAATACTTCCACCGAGACCACAAGCGCATGAAACCGGGTCCTTCAGCCAGTTGGTGACAGAGGTATGTGTACTCCAGGTCGATTCCCTAAAGCACAAAAAGGAGAAAGGATGCTTACAGCTGCAATAAAAACTGAAACCTGAGCAAGAACAACTGCTTCTGTCCTCTGCTCACCTGGCACACTGGACCTTGACTTCTGCTATCTGCCCGGACCTCCTAAAAATAAAGGCAAAGAACACTGCTGTAACACAGTCACCATTTAGGCTTCCCCTGCAAAGGCAAACAATGACTGACCAGCTGACGGAAGTTCCTCACCCAGGATTGGGACTCCGCTGCCACAGATTTGAACTGTCAGCATCTGAAAGGAAGTTAGGACTAGTGTTAAAAGGCTGCAAGACAACTTAACAGCACCAAACATCTTACGTCAATCTCCTAATACAATCTAGAGCTCAAATACACCCTGCATTACCCATTTCAAGTCCCCAGGACTTGTGCTATTACGGGCTAGGCAGCAGGGCAGAGCACCGCCGGGAGACAGGACAGGACACCCGTGACACGGGACAGGACGTGACAAACGAGGGGACAGGAGAGGGAGAGAGAGCTTTTGATGAGAAGAAAGGACCGAGAGACCCAAACAACACAGAGTGCACCAGAGACAAGTGCCAGGACACACACCGGAACTGCTCTGCCCAGCACACCTCAGCACCGAGATCAAAACAGACATTTTCCCTTCAGGTGGCCTAAGGAGACGCTTCTTGCACATCCCCATCTCCAAATCTGACTCAAAAACCCTTCCTGGGGAGTCCCTGGCACCTCTCTTCCATCCCCTCTCTGGGTTGTAGCCCTGGACTTATCTTGCACATATCCTGGGATGCAAATCCCCATCGGGTGAGGCCTCCAGCCTGTCTGGGGAGTTCCAGTTGTCCCCAGGCCGTTCTCTCTTGGTCTGACCAGAGAAAGAAAACCAAACATCAGTGCACAGTCTTAACAGCACATTGGACCAAACCTGATAATTCTGCTACTCACCATTCTCCTCAGAATGCCCAGGTTCTCCGGCCAGCACACTTCGGGCGTGCTTGGATTCTGACGCCGTCATTGCAGGGTACACCTAAGTTCAGTGGAGACAAGGCGACATAGCATTGCTCAAACATGAGTGGACTCCCACTCCTCCTCCTCCCTACCCCCCCGACTCACTGCAACTCCTCGGCCATTCCTCTGGGCTACCAGGATGGGACCTTGACATGCAAAATTGGAAGGTTTCATCACAGGGTCCTGGAATACTTCCACCGAGACCACAAGCGCATGAAACCGGGTCCTTCAGCCAGTTGGTGACAGAGGTATGTGTACTCCAGGTCGATTCCCTAAAGCACAAAAAGGAGAAAGGATGCTTACAGCTGCAATAAAAACTGAAACCTGAGCAAGAACAACTGCTTCTGACCTCTGCTCACCTGGTACACTGGACCTTGACTTCTGCTATCTGCCCGGACCTCCTAAAAATAAAGGCAAAGAACACTGCTGTAACACAGTCACCATTTAGGCTTCCCCTGCAAAGGCAAACAATGACTGACCAGCTGACGGAAATTCCTCACCCAGGATTGGGACTCCGCTGCCACAGATTTGAACTGTCAGCATCTGAAAGGAAGTTAGGACTAGTGTTAAAAGGCTGCAAGACAACTTAACAGCACCAAACATCTTACGTCAATCTCCTAATACAATCTAGAGCTCAAATACACCCTGCATTACCCATTTCAAGTCCCCAGGACTTGTGCTATTACGGGCTAGGCAGCAGGGCAGAGCACCGCCGGGAGACAGGACAGGACACCCGTGACACGGGACAGGACGTGACAAACGAGGGGACAGGAGAGGGAGAGAAAGCTTTTGATGAGAAGAAAGGACCGAGAGACCCAAACAACACAGAGTGCACCAGAGACAAGTGCCAGGACACACACCGGAACTGCTCTGCCCAGCACACCTCAGCACCGAGATCAAAACAGACATTTTCCCTTTAGGTGGCCTAAGGGGACCCTTCTTGCACATGCCCGCCCCCAGAGCTGATTCAATAGGACCTCCCAGTACATTGCCTTCATCCCCTCTGTGGGCCTTAGCCCTCGACTTATCTCTCAGGCATCCGGGGATGAGAATCCACATCCTGTGCAAATGGAGGCTGCCTCGACAGCTGGGAATGTCTTATGGTCAGCAGGCTGTGGTCCCTTGCTCAGCTACAATCAAGAACAGCAAACATCACTGCATGATCTTAGCTGCTCAGCAGCCACAAACCAGCAATTCTGCTACTCGCCATTCTCCTAAGAACGCCGGGCTCCTCGGGCCGCACGCTTCGCCCTCGCCCTCCTGGCAGGGTCTGCCTGGCTGAAGAGGAGACGAGGTGATGTGGCGTTCCCAAAACTCGAGTGGACCCTAGCTCCCCCTCACTAGTGGTTGCCCGACTTACAGCAACTCCTCAGCCGCTCCTGAAGGCTCCCTGTGTGACACCTTCCAGTGACAAAGATCAAGGCTTCCTTGCAGAGCCGTGTGCCGCTTCCCGAATTCCCACGAGGTCGAAGGAGCGGGTCTGTGGGCTGGTTACAGAGGGGGCTCGTTGTTACACGACTGCACTGCCTAATGCACACAAACATGAATGGATACTTGGAGTTGCAGCAGAGACACTACAGCTGTAGGCACACAAATTCATAAATAAATAAACAAAACCCAAAAATAATACCAAAATATTAACTTTATTTACCCAATATCCAAATTGCCAAATAGATTAACAGAGACACCCTGTTCTATCCCCTCAATAAGGCCTCTTAATTATGCCAAACAAATCCTTAAAACTAAGAAAACCCTGCCTGTATCGAAATAAAAACAAAAAAAAAGTCTTGTAAACTTTATAAATTCATTAACCTAACACATCAGAATCACAAAAATATTAAACCTTTATGAACACCAGAACGCAGTACACACTACCCTCATTTCAACATATAAAAGTAAAGCTATTCCTATTACTAACCTAACACAAATATCACAAAATATAGCAGTAAGAAAAAAAAAATAAACCTCACGAAAAAAAAAAATATAAAATTTTTATTTTAAGCCAAAAAAAAATCATACATTCTAAACAGGATCTTCCTCAAAATCAAGTATTTCAATAAACCCCAAAAACTCAAACATATTTAAAATAACTACTAAAAAGCCAAAAAACATAAAACAATTAAGCAACCCACCACAACTATCTGAAACTATCAACAATAAACCTTCTTTAAAAAAACCCAACAAATACTCCTTACCACCTCAACAATACATCAGCAGCGACACCAAATAACTCAAAATACTGTAACTCCCATCCAAAAAATGCTCTATAAACTGAAACATTAAAATTCATCTACAAAACCCACTCACCCTTCAACAACCTCCTCTAACCTACACACAAATCTAAAACAAATAAGAATTAACTATAAACTATCATACCTTAAATAACTCCACCATTAAACACTACTGTACCAAACTTATTAAAACTCCAATACAAACTAAAATCAAAAACCACAAAATAACACACCACTGTTAACATTACCAATACATTTTTCTCCATTCCTCTAACAACCGAATACAAACCTCGATTTACCTTCACTTGAAAAACATATACCTACAACCAACTACCCCAAAAATAAAAACACAGTCCTACCATCTAGCATAAATTCATCCAAATGAAACTTAAAAAGAAAACTCCAAAACATCTGTAATAATCCAACAATATTAGATGAAAAGTATAACAAAAATATTTTTAAAAATCATCCAAATTCTTCTAAAATACTATTACACCACAAAACAAAAAAAAAAAAGCAAAATGAAAAAGCCTACTGAAAAGATCCAATTCCTAAAAATAAAATAACAAAAGAAACATCAAATTCCCACCAATTTCATCAAAAAAAGTCAGAATGGCTCCACAAGCCAACAAAAAAACCCGCCAACCTATAAGAAAATGCCAAACCACCTCGAAAACAAACAATAAAACACAGCCCCTCTTACCACGGTATTATTTTAATACTATGATTAAAATACACATTCTATACAAAAATGTCTCCTACCCCGCCATCAATTCCACATAAAGCAAATAAATTAACTCTTATCATACAGGACATCCATATCAAAAATCTCAATCGCCCTAAATCCTTAAAAATAATAACAAATTAACCCCAGAATAAAAACTTTAATCTCTAACAAAAGAAACCCAAAACCAAACAACACAAACTAAAAATACACCACCATAGAACCAACTACCAGCAAAAAATAAACCCACGCTACACTCTTCACTAACAGTTCTTCGTGAGACACATCACAAAAATTAAACAAAAATAAAAAACAACCCATAGAAACCAAAACATACATAGAAAACGAATTACAAAACCCACTAGAAAAAGAAGTCCAACCAGCTTACTAAACTTCAAACCATACAACAGACCCTGAAAGCTACTAAAAATGAAAACCACACCTCTACACTAACTCGAAGAGTAACCAGTAGTCTAATTTAATGTTAAAAACTAAAGTAATAAACGATATTAAAATATTCTAAATCACTAGACAAGAAAAAGATAAGTACCCAAATAAAAAACTACCTAAAAAAACCCACCGTATAAATACACATGTTCCTAAAAAAAACCCCACTAATAAAAAGCAACCAACAAATACATCAAACTAAAACAAAACCCAAATAAATAAACTTAAATTAACAACAACAAAAATTATTCCTAATTCAATAAAGCCATAATGCCTCAAACCATCAAAATACAAATACCACCTAGAAATAAACACGTCACCAAAAGATAAATGTAACCATAAACAATAACTCCCAAATTACCGGTAACAATAAAACATTCACGACAATTAAACAAACCAAATGAATAAAACCTCTATAAGAGAATTAAAAAGAACACAATTATCAATATTAAAAAAAACCAAAAAAAACCAACTTACTAATTGACTACAGGACACTACCCCAAACCCACCAAAACAACCACTACATACTCACGCTAATAAAAACCACCACAGCCTAATTAAAAACCAACCCTGTACTTCATGCTACGACCCATAAAAACCACAGTAAACCTTAAAAAAAAATATCCTTTAAGAAGGTAACTACTACTGTATTTTAATAATATAAAAACAAATAAAAAACCCAACATATCCCACAAAAAAAAAAAAATCCAACAACAAACTCAATCCAAAAAACCCCTTGTCATCAGCACATGAACCAAGAACCATAACAACAACAGGTACACCAGGACCTTTCTCATACACCAACTACGAACAAAAGAAAACGATCCCCTAAGTTCCTCAAAACCACCACAGCAAGGAACTCTGGAAAATGAAAACCCGCGCTCCCAGCGGAGCGCGGCTCCCGGCAGGAAAGCGGCTCCTCGGGCAGGCACAGGCGGCGCCGCGCCGGGAGACCCCCGCCCGCTCCCCCCGGCCCGGCGGGGCCGGCACCGGGCCCGGGGGCCCCGGCGGCGCCCGAGCCCCGCGCCCGGAGCGGACGGAGCGGCCGGCACCGGCGCAGCGCCCGCGCCGCCTGCCCCGCCCGCCGGCCCGGCCAAAGCTCCCCTCGGCTCCGCACGGCTCGCACCGGCGCGGCTCCGGCAGTCCCGCGGCAGCCCCGCCGCGCCAAACTCCCCTCCCGCCTCGGCCATCCCCAGCCACTGCCAGCGGGGCTCCCGCGCCGGACCCTTCGCTGCCGGGCCAGGGGCAGAAGAAGCGCCCCAAATGCAGCGGCACAGCCCCATGCCCACCCTGCCAGCGCTGCCACAGCTGCGCCTCCCTTCCTTTGAAGCCCCGAAACTGACGCCACGCTCAGGCGCTCACCTGACTTCAACAAGGGCAAAGAAATGTGGGCTCCCCTTCAAATGCATCCCCTAGAAGAACAGAAAAGAAAAGGGCCTTCCTTAAATGATGGCAAAGGGGGATTTCTACCTCAATCCAAACCCTTTAAAAGGAGGGACAAGAAGACAGCCCCCTCCATTTGAACCTCAGGATGATGAAAAGGTGGGGGCTACCCTGAAGTCAAAACCATCATACGACAACAATATTTTTCCCATTCCATTTAAAAGAGAACACAGGGATTCCCTGTCTCCCCTGCAACATCCCTAACACCCTGGAAAAAAAAAAGATTTTCTTCAGTCAATACCCTTAAAACAAGGGAAGGGAGACCCCTGCCAGTTCAATCATGGACAATAATGGAAGAGGAGTTGCTTTCTTCATTATGAATTTTTGTCCACAATGCCCTCAATTTTTTATTTTTTTATTTTTTTTTTTTTTTCCTCCTGGGAGCACCAGGGAGTGACTGGCAAGACCAAATTCAAAAGGGAAAGAAGTCCCCACTACAAAGGGGCACCAGCTCACCTATTTGGCCGCTGCTTCTCGGCACAAAGGTTTGTCCCTCGGCACCTCCTTTCAGCAATGCTCCACGTATCTAAGTGATCCCCCAGACCCTGTCTGAAGCGGTCACCGTCCTTCCATGAGACAGCCCCAGGAGCCCCCCATAAACTCCTCTCCTCCAGCAACTCCGTCCAAAAGCAATGTGAGCAAAACCCCCTAAATCAGCCGCCTGAAGAGCCGCCCCCCTCCTCATCATCCTCACAGCTCACACCTGGGGCTGCTCTGAGACCTCCTCATCCTCACAGTTCACACCTGCCGCTGTTGCCGGCCTCCCTCTCCAGCAAACAGACACAGATCAAACAGAAATCTGCTATGGATGCTGGATTTTCTTAATCCATCTGGTTACATGATCAAAACACATATATCCCACACATCCTCTTCTAGTTTCAGTCACAAGCCCAGACCCAGCATCCATGTCAGAGGCGTAAAGGGATGTCGCCGCAAGAACCCCACAGTCCCAGTGCCAGCCCTTCGGTTCCTATGGTGTGTGCAGTCCCTTTGCCAGCACTGCAGTGATTACAGCACCCGCCCTACAAATCCCCTTTCCCAGCCCCAGTGATTTCAGCTATTGACCCACAAGCTTTATTTTACTGCTGGCTCTCTTCTTCAGCTCCAGCTGTGCGTTTCTCCAGATTCACAGGGCAGGATCGTGGCCTTGGCTCCAGCACTGCAGCACTTCAGCTCGTGCCCCAGGGTCTCTAAGCCCACCCCACCAGCAATATCCCAGCCCCGCAGTGATTTCAACCCCCGCCCAGAAATGCCCAGCCACGATGTCTGCCCCTGTATCATTTCCATTCAAAGCCCACAACCCTGTTCTCAGCAACAGAGTTCCTTATCCATTTCCAGTCACAATCCCAGCCCCACAGTCCGTTTGCCAGCCCCACAGTGACTTTGCCCACAGCCCCACTGGTGCTGTCGCAGACCGAAAGCATATCAGAGAAACCCCAGGTTTTTCAGGCACAATGTTACAGCCCCATCTCCACCCTACACATCCTGTTCTAGTTTCAATCACAAGCC